CTACACTGTTTTTTGTGAACAGAAACATATGTGGCCAAGTTATGTGGCTAGAAACACAGAGTCAAGTGAGGATGCTCCAGAAGCTGAATAGGAATACTCTGCTAAAGCTAAACTAAAGTTTCTACACATGATTCCACCTGCACAACTCACTCACAAAGAACGGCCACAAGTACTCAAGTGAGAAAGAAGGGAATTTGTCTATCCTGTCCATTGCTAAAATAATTTCAAGAGGAGTTGATAGTACTGATTAATTCTTCCTTGAATGTCACATTTTTGTTTGATTTTTTAGAAAAGGTTATTATATATTTCTTGGATAACTCTGATGTGGAAGTTTGAGTAGCTGACTCCTTAAAATGATTGTTTAGCATTCTCTCATGTGAAATCTATCAAGGTATTGTGCAAGTGCAGAGCTGAATTCAAGGTGGAGAAAATATTCTGAAAATCTTAGCTTTCTTATCATAAAATAATATAATTGGAAGAGACCACATAGGCCATCTAGTCCAACCCCCTGCCATGCAGGAAAAACACAATCAAAGCAGCCCTGACAGATGTTCATCTAACTTCTGTTCAAAAGCCTCCAAGGAAGATGCTTCCACCACACTCCAAGGCAAAGAGTTCCACTGTTGAGCAGCTCTTATGGTCAGGAAGTTCTTCCTAAAGTTCAGGTGGAATCTCCTTTCCTGTAATTTGAAACCATTACTCCGAGTCCTAGTCTCCAGGACCACCTTTTATATCTTTAAACATGGCGATCATGTCTCCTCTCAACTTCGCTTCTGCTCTTTAAGATGCTCCTCATTAGGTAATTTGGATCAAGGATGGGACTTAGGGTAGTCCTTCTTCCTAGTAACCAAGACTCTGCAATAACAGGAATGCTGAAGCTTGTTAGAATAGTTTGCCTTCATAACTGATAAATCCAGTCCATGTTCTGTATAGATATAGCTAATGGTATAACTATACTGTAGAATTAATGCAGTTTGACACCACTTTAACTACTATTGCTCATTGTCATGGAATTTTTGCCTTCTCTGCCAAAGAGCGCTAATGCCTCACCAAACTACAGCTCCCAGGAATCCAAAGCATTGAACTGTGGCAGTTAAAGTGGTTCCAAACTTCATTAAATCTACAGTGTAGATCAGGGATCCTCAGACTTTTTAAACATTGGGCCAGTTCACTGTCCCTCAGATCACTGGAGTGCCAAAGTATAGTTTTTTTAAAAAAAAAACTATGATCAAATTCCTATGCGCACTGCACGTATCTTATTTTGCTAGTGTTATGAATCGTAATGTAAATATCTGATATGCAGGATGTATTTTCATTGTTACAAACTGAACATAAAGCATAGTGATTAATCATAAAAACAATATGCAATTATATATTGTGAAATATTTATTTCTAATTACAAATAAATGAAATTTTGACTTCAAGCATGTCGTAGCAGGAAAGAAGAGGGAGGGCTTGGAGAGGGAGGATGAAGGGGGATGGGAGGGGGAGGAGAAGGAGCACATTTTGAGAACTGCCGGTGTAATGCATACTTCTTATAATAAAAATATCAGTAATACTGACTGTCCTATCAGAAGGAAAACCTCTTAGGATGGGGCACATGTGGTCCGCCGAGAGCATTTATCCAGCCCACCGAAGAGAAGGCCTACCTCTCAGAGGAATCAGCCTTGGCTCTGCTAACACAGAGCTCCTTTTGTTCTTTCTGTCTCCTCCTCTCACACACTCTTTCTCTCTTTCTCCCCATTTCTGTCTGTCCCTTTTCCCCCTCTCTTTTTCTTTCTCTTTCTCCCTTCTCTCTTTCTACCTCTTTTTCTCTCCCTTTCTCCTCTTCTTCTTTTTATAACCCTTTCTCCTCCTCCTCCTCCTCCTTCTTCCTTTGAGGAGGTGGAGGCAGCGGTGAGTCTGGAGAACTGGGGATGCCCCCCCTCCCCCAGATCCTTTCCCACTCACCTTCCTTGATACCAAAACCCAATTTCCCTCTCACCTTTCGGTGGGTTCTTTGATTGTCCTTTTCCTACATGGCAGAAGGGAGCTGAACTGGATGGTCCCTGGGGTTTTTGCTATTATTAGCCTGGAAAAACCTTCAATAACCCAGTGATTCCAGCCATGAAAGCCTTCGACAATGCATCATCATCATCATCATTACAAAGGCTGGTTAGCCATCTGTTGGGAATGCTTTGATTATGCTTTTCCTGCATGGCAGAAGGGGGTTGGACTGAATGGCTCCTGGGTCTTCCATTGAAATACTGTTAAGTAGATAGATAGATAGATAGATAGATAGATAGATAGATAGATAGATAGATAGATAGATAGATAGACAGACAGACAGACAGACAGACAGACAGACAAACACACACATACACATTATATATGACATAATATATAATATAATATTAAAACATTTTTGGGGCTCCACGAGAAACTTTTGTTTCAAAAAGGGCTCAGCAGCTAAAAAGTTTGAGAAGCCCTGGTATAGAGACATCTAAACCCATGGGACATTCCTCCTAGCTGGTTATTTGAGATTACTGTCCTCTCACTGCTTGATACTTGCTCTGTTTGCCCAACTCTCTCTTTAGCCTTTGGGTCGTTTTGTCTAGGCCTTGATAAAGTACTGTCCCTAGTAATATTGTTGCCCTCCCACACACAACTCGGTTTGAAGTTCTCCTTATCAGGTTGTTTTAAGTATAGTCTTTAATGTTGTGGATACAGGCTTGGTACTTCATTATTATTTATTATTTATAAAGCATTATCTATTTATATGGGACTGTAAAAGAAGAGATAGAATTTACCCTCAGATATTTATAATCTAATGAAGTTTTAGATGACAGCTCCTGAATTTGTTGATCTCCTCCTCATAACTTTATTCGGGAGCAGTGAATTCATAAGAATGGGAGAAACCAACTAGTCTCCCTTCCTTTTGCGTTTCTTCTCTTTTATTGGGTGTCATCTAGCACAAACTTCTAAAAACTCAAACCCATCATTAACAAAGACCCCACAAAGGCCTCATCTACCCTGCCATATAATCCCATTTCTGAACACAGATTATATGGCCGGTTAGATCCAGCCATAGAGGGTGTTAGGTTTAAAAGATCATTTTTGCTGACATCCTGGCTACCATAATCTGAACTAGCTGTAGTTGTTGAAAAATTGTCACATGGAGGCACACAGAAAGCAAGTTATAGTAATTCAGTATATATTTATCAAGTATTTATTGGGATAGACAAGTTTTTTGTTAAAGCTAAGGGCTAGATCTGATTCTCAAACCATCTGGAGTAAAAGGCTCATGTGCAGTGATCCATTGTTATCTTGTTCTGTGCTTTGGGTTTATATGTGTGTTGCTAGTCTTGGGCTACCCAGCTGTGTCAGAGCCACTTTCAAAATGTGCTTTAATGTTCCTCAAGTTGAATAAAAGTATATATATTGAAAAGCTGGTAATTCTAAGGACCACTGATTTACATTAGAAAGGGGAAGATCATTGGTATCTGTCTACAGTTATGTATTACTTTGCATTAAACACACATATAATGGCTCCTTCGTGCACCTTCACTTTATTATCAGCTTCTGACTCACTGTTTCAGGTCATCCAAGTCAGAAAAGCACTAAATAAAAACCATATATCCTCATCACAACAATTAATTTGGTCAAAAGCAGTAACAATGGTTTATGACCTGCCATTCTTCTGAGCACATTGAAAATGCAAATGAAGGAAGAGACTGAGCTTTTGTCACCTCTTTTGGTTTATGAAAAAAACCACCTCCTTCATTTCTCCTGTGAGGCTGAGGAGGAAAGAGACAGATGGCAGATGGGAACCTTTTTTTTTAGTATCTCCAGGACAGGCCAGACCAAACTCTTTCCTTGGACAATAGGACAATAGGAGGCAGCTTCAGTATCCTTTGTCTGAAACTATGGCTTTCCCTGCTCTGCTGTCTGAGTAGGGAGCTGTAAGACATGAGGTTATGAAGGTTATGAAGCAAAAGCCCCCTGGGTGCTAGTGAAACAACGTTCATTAAATTACAGGGCAAGCCCATAAAGACTGGAGCATTGTCTCATTCTGCAACTGGACAAAAAGAGCCTATGAACCAAGCAGCTTTCTCAAAGCAGCATTTCTTTCTTTCTTTCTTTCTTTCTTTCTTTCTTTCTTTCTTTCTTCTCTCTCTTGAACCCAAGCCCAAGATTTGTTACTAAGCACAGTGAAAAGGTTACCCCAGGTGGCATACTTCGGGCATTATGAAAAGGCTGCAAATTATTGGTTATTTCGGTACTATTTGCATTTTTACCATCATAGTGTGGAAAGAGATGCTTGTTTTCTGCCTCAAGTAACATAATGTTTTGGCTAGACTTAGACTGTGATGTTTTTTTAAAAAACTGATGTTCTACAATAATATGTGTTCATTGTTTTTTACATTCACTGCTCTGCTGGCTAAGTAGGGTCAAAAATCTTTATAAAGCTCATTCTTATAGGCAAAATTGAATTGCCCTGACACAAACGTACAATGGGGTAGATAGTGGGCTGTTTCCTTCGTCAATAGTTGACTAAGCCATATAATGTAAGATGCACAATTTGTTACAAGTTGAAGTCTTTATGAAATTAATGTGAAATAAACACAAACTCTGTCAGCTGGAGAATCCTGTAGATTGTAATACCCAAAAAATACTTTTTCTAAGCTCTATTATGTCATGCATACTACAGCACTGCCCTCTCAATACAATAGTCTGAAAATGGTGCATGGGGCAGGCGTTGTGGGCTGCAGCTGTTTGCCCTGTGATAAACCCCTTGGCTAAAGAGCTAAAAATAAGGATGGTTTGCTAAGAAAGAGTACCAGCAGGAAAATTCACAGACTGAGGGCATGATCCTAGTGGTAATAAAGACTGAATATTAGTTTTTGCTCATTCTGCTCAGCTTCTTTTCATTGCCCTCCTTGCTGCACTTAGCACTACCATTTGGGGCCTTTTTCTTTTGGGTACTCAACAATAACATGGGTTTTGTTTCTTCAATGCAGGATTACAGAGTGAATATTTTCTTGCGACAGACATGGAATGACCCTCGACTGGCATACCATGAGTTTCCAGATGATGCCCTGGATCTGGACCCATCTATGTTGGACTCCATCTGGAAGCCGGACTTGTTCTTTGCCAATGAGAAAGGAGCTCACTTTCATGAAATCACAACAGATAACAAACTCCTACGCATCTCCAAAAATGGCAATGTCCTGTACAGCATTAGGTGAGGAGAAAGGGGGAAAATTCATTCATGGGTCTTCAGAGGAGTGGATATTATACACTTGACCAGGGGCTCAGTCGCAATTGGAATGCTACATTCCTCTTTAAATGACATGGCAACATCCCATGGAATCCTAGGATTTGAAGTTTGGGGAGGGGTCTTTAGAGTTTGTAGCCAGAGAGCTCTGCTGCTGCCTCTAACCAAACTATAAAGCCCAGGATTCCAAAGTCAGTTAAAGTGGAATGAAAGCTCTAGAATTGTGCAGTGTGAATAGACTCCTGATTGGAAGCAAGTTTGATTATTGTGGGGTGCAATGTAGTGATGTCCAGTGGTTGTCATGTTTCATTCCAGACATCAAAAGAACAATCCAAGGTGCTGAAACTTCTTTATATAACCCATTAAAACTCTGCAATGAATGCCAGAGTAGGTTTTCCGCAGCCCTAACATGAAACATTTTGGTCTTGTATGAACCATGAACTGCCAGCATTCATTTCTGAAAACAATGATGCACAAACTCGTAAGTGTTCAGTTTTAACATATGGTGCAAATGGATGGAATAATGGGGGAAAATATTACCTTTTATAGTAAGAGCCAGCAAGGTTTAGTGTTTTCAGTATTGGAGCAGGACTCTGGAAAATCAGGGTTCGAATACACACAAATTCCTAGAAGCCAACTAGTGGCTTTGAAAAGTTACACACAAAAAGAAAGCAATGGTGACTCCTCTGAACACAATTTTGCCAGGAAAATCCTATGAAATGATCACCAGAGTTCAGAATCAAAGTAAAGGTACATAGGAACAAAGACAACTTTTTGTAGTTTACATGTATCAAGATTTCACCAGAATTAATAAACGTTTATTTTTTTTTAAAAAAAAGGGGGGGGGGAAATAGAAATAATTGAGTCAGAGAGTTGGAAGGGACCATAAGGGCTATCTATTCCAACTCCTTACCATTCCGAAATATACAGCCAAAGCACTCCTGGCAGTTGGCCATCCAACTTTGGTCTAACAACTTTCAAAGAAGAGAAGTCTGTCATCTTCTGCAGCAGTCCATTCCACTGTTGAAATGTTTTTGCAGTCAATAGGTTTTTCCTATTATTCAGGTAGAAACGTTTTCTTATAATTTGAGTCCATTGGTCTGAAACAACAGAAAACAAACTCACTCCATCTCCTAAGTGACATCCTCGCAGATATATAAAAGACGGCTATCATATTATTTATTATATTTATATTTATTTCCCTCTTTATTTCTCCCAAAGAGGACTCAAAGCAGCTTAACATAAAAGCATCAGCATAACTATTTTAAAATACACAAATATACGCACATTATAACAGGATTAAATATAACTAGTATTTTAAAATTCCCAGTTAAAAGTCATTAAAACAAATTCAAAGTTAAAAACCACAGAACTTCTTCATCTTTAAAAGCCTGCCTGAATAAAAAGTTTTTAGCCTGCTGCCGAAATGACAACAGGAAGGGGGCCATCCTGGCTTCCCTGGGCAGGGAGTTCCAGGGTCGTGGGGCAGCCACTGAGAAGCCCCTCTCCTTCCCACCAACTGAGCTTGAGATGAAAGTGGGACTGAGGGAAGGAGCCTTTCCTGAAGATCTCAGGGACTGGGCAGGTTTGTACAAGGGAATGCAGTCGGCCAAACAGCCTAGACCTGAACTGTCTAGAGCTTTAAAGGTCATAACTAGCAATGAATTGTGCCTAGAAACAGACTGGCAGCCAGTGGAGCTGCTGCAACAGGGGGAGTTGTGTGCTCCTTGTATCCAGCACCAGTTTGCAACCTGGTTGCAGTTCTTTGGACCAGCTGAAGTTTCTGAGCACTCTTCAGAGGCAGCCCCACGTAGAGTGTGTCATTGTTATCCAGACAGGATGTAACTAAGGCATGTACCACCATGACCAGATCTGGCTTCTCAAGGAATGGGTGCAGATGAGGTACAAGTTTCTTCCATAATACTATTCATGTAGCACAGCCTTTCCTAACTTCATGTATTCCAAATGTGTTGCACTGTTCTATTATTCCCAATAACTATCAGGCATCCTGGCTAAAGAAGACAAGAGGTGTATTTCTCAAAGGATGCTAGGATGGAGAATTGGGCAGCATCATTTCAAATACTTCTAATTGGCTATTGTGAAAAATAAGACATGGTGTTTGCTAAGCTTTCTGTATGATCCAACCATGTTTCTAAACATTCCATATATATTGGCAAGACTATTTCATTCTCTTTCAGCAGTAAGCTGTCGTTTTGTGTTTCCTTGGTTTTTAAATTAGAATTCTTTAAAGCCACGTGCTTTCCCTTTCCTCTATTGAAGTTGTTGGCACAGGTTCAGTCTCAATGCAAGCAGTAGTAGAAAATGGCACATAAAAAAAGCATGTGGGATTTTACCATCTGAAAAAGTTAGCAGCTTCAGACATCAATTGCAAATGTACATGTATCAGTTTCGTTTGAATTTAACTTTTCTTTGCCTCAAAACATATGCATAGGACTATAATTAAGAGAATGTTAGCAGTATCTAAATAGTCTTAGTGGTGACAAATCAACAGAGTGGTTAAACACATACAAAAAAACTAGAACCACTAGTCAGTCTTGCACATGATGTATTAAATAATACTAGAGCTGAGTCGGTGAAAACAAGACCTGGGGCTGACTGTTAGAGCCTCAGGATCACGAAAACTTTTTCTTATTGGCCCCAATTTTAGAATAAAAAACTAAAAAAGGAGATCAGGGAAAAATTTACACCAGACCAGTAGATATTTGAATCCTCACTAAAAAACATTCTAGCGGAAAATAATAAAGTGGAAGTGGGAACGCACCAAAAACAGATTTGAAGGGGGGACTTTTAGGATTAGTAAAAAACCAGAGTCCAGAAAAAAGAAAACTTATGGCGACCAGGGAAGTCCGAGGAAAACTGTCAGGAGGGGGCGCAAAACAAAAGTACGTTCCCAAAAAGAAAAAAGAAAAAAAACAAAGGAAGGCAAAAAAGTGGTGTCTGCCTGAAGGGGACACCTGGAAGTTAGGGCCCCAAGAAAAAGGAGGGAAAAAGCAAAAAAGGGGAAAACCAGGATAAGGGGGAAGGATATGGCCCCAGGTTAAAATGCGCCAATTCACGAAGGGTTAGCCAGGAAGAGGATAAAGGGAAAAACTATTTTAAAAATAAACGCAATGCAGGGAAAAGTTGAAAGGAAGGAACAAACAGAATTAGGGGAAAGGGGAACAAGGGAGGGGGGACCCTCTTTCAGGAAAATTTAGAAAATTGGAGCGTAAAATTCAGGCAAAAAAAAAATTTGGTATGATTGAAAGAAAAAAAAACAAAAGGATGGGCACGGGAAAAACCTAAAACAGAACCTCTCACCCCTCGTTTGCGGGTGGTGGGCGAGGGGGGGGGGGGGGTGACATTTACAAAGGAAGATCTGTTATAGAGAAAGGAAAATAATATTGGAGGGATTTAGTTTTTTTGGGGACGGTTGTGGTTGGGAATGAAATTCAGAAAAAAACCAGGAACCATTCCTGGGAGGGAGGTTGGAGGGTTTGAAAAAATGGCCTTAAGAAGCAATTGGGCAAACAAAACAAGGCAGCAAGGGAAGATGCAACTGGGGAATTTTCCCAGACTGAAACTGCTTTTTAAAATCTTAAAAAGGATGGATGCGCTGTCAAGGGTGATGCATTAGCCATTTTTTGCAGAAAAATATGGAAAAAAAAAAAAAAAACAAAAAGAAAACAAAATGCCTAGGGGACTCGAAAAAAAAAAAAAAATCAAAAAAAAACCTAATCTCCCCCTTCACCAAAAAAAAAAGGGAAATGCGAAAAAAAGGCGGGGACTGCTTTTCAAAAATTCCGTTAACAGTGGGCCCCTAATTTTTGCTTTCATTTTTTGGGCCCAGTTTAAAAGGTAAGCCAAGACCCCTCCTGCAAGGAAAGGGGGGGACCTTAGCAAATTTACCATGGAAGCGAAGGGAGTTTTTCGCACAGATGGTCAAAAAGCTCGGGGTTTAGAAAAGGTAGGAGGAAAAAAAACAAGGATGGGAACCAAAAATAATTGCAAATTAATTTGCTGCGATAATAGGGGGAGAAAAGGGCAGGGAGTTCAGAAAAAAAAAAACATTCTATCTGGCTTATTCATTGAGGGGAATTATTCTTAAAAAGCCTTTGACTTGTGTGGGGATCATAAATAAATTGGGCAAGTTTTCTTAGGGTGGGGATTGCGGGCATTCCCAGGCCCCACCTTGTTCTCGCCTGGCAGGGAAATCTGTTACAATGGGGGGGGGGGGGGACCCAAGTATGGATCATCAAAGACTTCCAGTGGAAAAAAAAAAACAAACAAAACAGGCTTTTAGTCTATAAAATATATAAAATTAGTTTTAGGGCAAGGCTTGCATCCTCTCCAAACCCAAAAAACCTTTTTTAACTTGTATGCAGAAAACAAAAAAACATTTTAATTGCGGGATGTTTGGCGGGGCTGGATGATTTGCAAAAAGCGGGGGTGAAAAAAAAATTGCTGGGAAAGGAAAAAAAAAATAAAAACAACCCTTAAGATGTATGGCAGGATGGGACACCAATGATGGGGGCCGGGAAAAAAAGCGAGGGGAGGGAGGGCGGAGGGAACGGGCCTTTCTAAAACAAGGTGGGAAAAGAAAGCAAAACTGTGAAAAAAAGCCGGGTGGCAGCTAAACGTCAAAAAAAAAACCCAAGATTATGGCAACAAGAATGATTAACAAGTGGAAAATAGAGGGAGAAAAGGGGGAGGGAAGGAGGGAGGAGGGAGAAAATGTGGGGACTTTGTATTTCTAGGTGCGACGCAAGAATTACTGCAGATGCAGACTGTAGCCAAGGGAAATAAGTGAAAGTGACGCGTTACCTTTCTTTGGGAGGGAAGAGGCCAATGCCCCAATTCTTCGATTAAAAATACTAAGATGTAAGGGGTGAGGGGGGGTGGGGACAATCAGGAAATGGAAAAAAAACCAAAAAAAACGAATCCGGCCTAGGTCAAAAAGCCATTTG